TTTTCCTTCGTTGCCACCACCGGTATGGATTTGCTCATTCACACCTACTAGCTAGCTAGTCTATCATCTGTAACTCCTGTACCTGACGACTGTGCCAACGTGATCCTCGAGTCCGAGGTTGGGTCGGTTCGACCTTCTTGGCCAATGGGGAGGAGAAAGAGGTGCAAAGATTTCAAGGCAGCTTTGCCGGCATTAATTTGAAAAACTGAAGTCGAAATCCTGTTCAACGTTCATCTCTCTTCTCTTGTCACAACCAAGCTAGGTCAGTGCAAACAGACAACAGTACAGCAGTTGCAAACAGACAGAAAGCATCTAGCAAGAACAAACAACCATGACAACCCCCAAATCAGAAGTCAAGCTTCGACGCATGTCCATCGGTAGATCGTCAGCAGTCAAGGCATCTGCTAGCACAAGTTCCGATGAAAATCCAAAGATGCAGAAGGATACTTGAGAATCCAACAGCTCTTCCCCAAGGTCCACGAAGATCTCCCCAAGCTTCTCTGGTTGATTTCTCGTGGTGACTCGGAAGAAACCAAAACTGCTCTCGCTGGACTGAATACTCTGCTGGAAAAAGAAAGCGAAGGAGATGAAACCACTCTGGCATTGTATCGAGTCTGTGGTCATGCCACAATCACCAAAGCCATGCGACTCTATTCCGACAATGTAACGGTCCAGCTGACATCGCTGCAGGCTCTGGACCATTTGGCCAATCATCAACGATGCAAGAAGATCGCCTTTGATGAATACACGTACATGCGAACCAGCTTGGTGGCATTGGGGGCGATTGACCTTGCCTTGACGGCCGCTACTTCACTTGCTAACTTTAGCAATGTTGCTGTCAGAGCACTTAGTCTGGTGGAAAAACTCATGGATGTCTATACGTTTGAAGAACTGTTCCACCTCAAGATCATGGAAACTACTGCGACCATTATGAAGAACTATCAAAGCTCTGGGAACGTCCAGAGCCGCGGATGTGACATCTTTCACAAGGCCACCAAGAAATGTTCTGGTCCAAACCGTACAATGTTTGAAGGAATACAAACAGTGTCATTGTTGGGGGCAGTCATGGAACGCTTCAAGGACGAAAAGGTGTACACAAAAGCTGACAACGTGTTGCAAGGAATCCTTTCCATCAAGTCAAACAAGAGAAAGAGGAATAGTTTGTAGACATGTGAATTCAAGGCTCTAAAATGTAGTTGCTTGTTGACTCCGTTATTAGTAAAACAAGTTTTAGTATCACTTCAGCAGTGGCTGTCCTTGTTCGTCGCATTTCCATACCGGAAGGTACGGTGCGTCACAGCTCATAATCCTTGTTGTCGTACATATTCTACCTGTCCAAAAATCAATAGGTATGGTCTTCATTCAATCATTCGTTTCACGCTTCGATGAGCAATTGGCTCTGTTTCTGGCACCATCGTAACTGTTGATAGATGCTTCGACCATGCCATCATTACAGAGCAGGGACGGTGGAAGCCGATCCCGACCATGGTAGACCGAGGATCACTAAACCGAATGCTGCTTTCTTTTGAAGACTCGCACCTCAAGCTATGAGGCAATCGTCCCACTAGCTAGAGCAGCTTTTTCTGGCAACGAATTATTTGTGCGGCCACCTTTCACGAACATCTGGTCACTCAAGTGCAAGGAGAGTTTTGATCCCGTCCCTTCAGGCTGGAAGAGTGCGGGGAAAAGCTTTGGCAGTCAGGCAGCTGCGGTAAACTACTTTTACTGGTAGTCTAAGTGAATTCAATGGAATCTTCACAGCAAAGCCATTTTACCTCAACTACCTTTCTAAGGTTGCTCTGTCCCGCCACCTCTGGGCAGTCGAGTTTTGCACTTCAGCATGAAAATTTCAAGTAGGTAGGGATGTCCTGTTGCCTGGCTAGCTGCTACCGCTAGCAGCCAATCATAAACGAATTGAACGATCAATCGATATCTCTTAAGAAGAACAGGCAAACGGGCCCATTCAAATCATTTTTTGCTACGACATCTCTCTTTGCACCAACGAAATTTTGATGAAGACTCTTGAAGTTCAAGACTTTGAAATCGATGTTGCAACCTTGCTCTGCGATGTTGTGGACTGCAAGGACGACAAAGCGACCAAAATCAAAGCGATCCTCGACGACTACAAAATTGTGGGTGAAGTTTGTTTCTTTTCAACCCAATTCGGCCAGAAGTACGTGATTGCTGTGTGTAAAAGGCACAGTTCCAGAGTTCTGTTCTGCGCATTTGCAGGGACATATCTCTCTGGTGATTGGGAGGATGCTTCTACACAATACAAAAAAGCAATTGGATTTTCCAAACGAGCCTCGGACATTCCGAGAGAAGGTATCGAGAGATTGGCGCAGCAAAGCAGGGCCTCGAGAATTGTCTTTTGTGGTCATGGCCTGGGTGGGGCCGTGGCCCATCTCGTGTTGATTTTGTTTCTGAGCACTCAGCAAGGCAGTCGAGGCCGTTTTGCAGACGACGATGCGATATCTGTCGGATTCGGAGCTCCTCACTTTGGCGATGAGGACCTGCTTGATAGTATCAAGGAACAAGGATGGGTCGACCGCATCATCAATGTCGTGGATCCTCAGGACCCCATTCCCCGAGTCATGAACCTTGCTGCTGCGCTTTGTAGTGTGGATGATGGCCCGACAAGCCCATCTTCAAGACTGTTTTCAGCTTGTTTGCGATTTCTGAACTCGCGAGAAAAACCAGTCGAATTGGCACGGGCGATCCAGAAAGGCTCACCAAATAGTGTCAGCGCATGGTTGCAGTTCGTTTCAATTGGCCGCTGCGTTTACCTTGAAAACGAGACTGTCACTCTCAAAGCAAGCGAAGCACACGGGCTTTCTGAACAGGTTGGAACTTCCTTTCGTTGCCGAGAAGACTGGCAACGACTTGCTCAGGATCTTCGGGACCGCAAACATCTCTCTCGACATGGGATTCCCGCATATCGCAAGCTGCTTGAGGCCCGGGGGGAGACTGTGTCAAAAATGTGCCTCAGGAAAGATTGGGCCGATCTGAACAACCCAGGAGAGCACGTCGAAAGTCCGATTAGTCCATCCAATCTAAAGCCAGAGGTCCAGGAAGTACTTTGTGAAACTCTGAAGAAAGGTGGTATTTGCTATCGACTGATTAGAGTGTGTGGCATTAATCTTGACTTTGCAGACATCGACACGGTCGATCCCGACGAAATTGATGGCAAATGGAGTCGTGACGCTGTTGAGGCATCTCAACTTAGCCGGAGGAACACGAATGTTCTTGTCATGGAGCAAGAATTGAAAGAGGCAGCGATTGCGAAACCACGAGAAGATATTACGATCTTGGTGCGGTCTGATGTGGTCACCCAAGGATATGTGGCTAGTAAGGTCAAGGCTGAGTTGCCGCGCAATAAGTGTCATGATGCGGTTGGTGTGGCGGACGACGCTCTTGCCTTCTACGGCGGGCAGTTCTTTCTTGACACCCAGCAGCATGCGTGGATAATGAAGAAGCTCTTCAATGATGACAGGCTCAGTGTCAAGCTCCAGGATTTCCAGGAGGAGGCGGATCGAAATTGTGGAAAGGACACGACGTTTCTCTCAATGCAAGCATCATGGAAGCGTCTTGAAGATGTTGGAACGTATCCAGGCAACATGGGCAACATGAGGAAGACTCGAGATGCAGGCAACATGAGGAAGACTCGAGATGCTTTGTATGATTGGATTGTGCCTCCGGAAGGGCTTCCACTACAGACAGAGGCACAGGTTTGGTGCTTCGCGGCCATTGTAGCTTCTTCTTTCCTTCTCGGAGGTGGCGTAATCTCTGCCGGAGGTTTGGGTGTGATGATGGGCGTTGGCCGCATCACAGGCGGTGGGTGTCGGCTGCTCTTTTGAGCGCCGCTGGAGGCGGAGTAGCCCAGAATCTCTGCTGGTCACGACTCCGAACGAATTACTATGTCATGCTGCAAGACTTGGTCAAGGTCTACACAGGTTGGGCCCCCCGATCGAGATCTGAGTTTCAGTTGGAAGAAGAACTTCTAAAGGCTCATGACGCACATCAAAAAGGGAAGAAAACGACGACGCCAACAAAATTCCCCACGTTCGATGACTACGACCCCCCATCACAAAAGAAGATAAGAGCACGCATAGCCGTGATCCGGAAGCTTCATGAAGTGAAGAAAGCTAGGATGAAGGGAACTGTGATTTCAGTTTGCGGGCCCCGTGATTCAGGGAAAACGACGCCCTTTCTCAGCTGCTACAAAAACCAAACCTTGCACTTGCCACGGGTATCACTGGTGGAGAAGGGGAGACCCGAGTTGTTACGCCCTACTCTTTTCCCAGCGTCCCTGGGTTCGCTGTTCTTGACACCCCTGGTGTGACCGGGCCAGAGACTGGCATTCGCGGGAAATTTGAAAAGGCTGCACTGAATCTTTGCTCTTGTTTTGTTTACATCAGAGAGTATGCGGGTTTGCCAACGGAGGTGGACGTGGCTGTGATTCAAAAGATACTCCAGAACTCGTCCCGCAGCCGCGATCCGAAAATCTTGGTGTGCTTGAATCGTTGCGTCTCAAAATTGACGGAGGATGCCGCAGGAGAGATCTTTGACGTCACCGCAGCAGAGGAGAAAAAGAAATGGCAGGAAAGTCTGGCGAAACTACAGTCGTCTGAAACCACGCAGTGGACTTTAAGCGCTTCCTCCGCAAGCTCCATTTCGGTCGAGTTTGTGGAGCTGAAGGGCGACAGGAGGAAAGAGGACTCCTACAACGAGGATGAACGTACCAAAGGTATCTGGACAACGTCTTCCATTGGAACCTGGATCACGCAAAATGCAATGGAAGGAACCGAAGAAAACTGTGGTAAAGTTCATGCCTTCTTGAGTGCCTTCGACTACCCGAACTGGCAGGAAGGCGTGCGGAAGTGCCGAAAGGAAAGAAAAGAGCAAGAAGAACGGGAACGAGAGGCCACCCAGAGAATGCTCGATGCATTGAACCATTAAACTGGCAACATGAGCTTAGTCCATGTCTGTCAAGAAAGTAGAAAAGAAAGCAATTAGTAGACTACAACACTCTTTCTAGCGAACGAGCGCACAGCCGTTTCAACCTGTGACGTACGCTTCTCTCTTCCGTGGATACCGTCAGGTCGTCCATTCGAGTGAAAACCCAATTGCTTTGCTATTGTTCTTGCACCAGCAGTGGGGAGAGGGGCAACGCGTGTCTTTTTCTTGTGTATCCACAAGAGGGCTTGGATTCGATTTTCCTCCAAGGTTTGACATCATCCGAAGAGTAGTGGGATAATAAGAGACTCTCTGGGCTGCAGTCACTCTCCTCTGAATTCATCGGACCAATCTTCTACTTCTTCGAGACGAAAGCTGTCCTTGTTGTGTGGTTGCGGGACATTGTGATTATCATTCTTGGACTTTCAAATTCTTCTAGTCCTATTCTTGCACGGGGTGGTTGTTCAACCATGTCTCAAGTTGGCCCACTGCGTTGTCTCTCATGCTGGTAAGACAACAGAAGAAGGGCAGGAGTCGCCCTTGTGTTGATATGTGAATTGTGGATGATTGAAACTCCCATGCAGTGCCCAAGTACCTTCGTTAGCTGTTCCACGAAGAACCCAAATTGCTTGAAGCATTCAATCCAAGATGCCAGGACTCTCAACCAGGCAAATGATATACATTCTTTTCGGTGTTGCATTTGCGACAATACCATTGTGCATTGATTATCTAACGATCTAAGAGATGTAAAGTTTGTATTTCCAAATAAGTGAGCAGTTATTGATTATTTCTAGAATAAGCCTGCTAATTGTAAAGCTGTAAAGCTGAATTGTAAGCTGTATCCCGTCGCACTCCTTACAGCTGAAATGAGCTGAGCAAGAAACGATAAGAGAGAGTCCCCAGCAAAGTGCTGAGGTAAATTACCATCCCTGAGGAGCTTCCGAATGACAGCAAACTGTGGAGCCGGAAGACCCTTAGTGAAAATGTCGCCCGTTGTTCCAGAGTCAATATACTTAGCCACGATGCCTTTCGACTCCCCGATATTGGACCTGAAAAAGTGGTACTTCAATGCCAAAAACTTGTTGCGCGCAGACATTTTGGGAACATTCACAAGAAAGCAACCTTGGTTGTCTTCGAACACTGTAGAGCGCACGAGACTGTCAGTAATTACCGGAATATTCAGTTGCTACCAATTTCTTTGAGCAAAGCTCGCATAGGAAGCAGCTCCCTCATTGACATGCTGAAGGCAACATACTCAGCAGCAGTGGAGCTCAAGGTAATATCAGTCGTAGCTGTGCTGACCAGATAATAGGGCACCCAAACAGAGTCAGGACAAATCCAGTGCGAGACTTGACGGACACAGGATCTGTTCATCCTCATATCCATACAATCCGCGAAGTCAGCATCGACCCAACATCAAGTCCCTGTTCAAGTTTAGGGCTAAAACAAATGCTTTGTCACTTGTGCCAAATCAGATACCGAATGATACGTTTGAATTGCTTGAGCATGTGGATGCCTGGGATTGTGACTGAATCGTGCCACCTGGTGCACACTAAATTGATGTCTGGGCGAGTGTTGACGCAATATAAAGAAGCATCCCAACTCCAGCTGGATAGCTCCACTACTTCTTCAAATGGGCCCCCCAGTTTGTCAGCTCCGAGAGGATCGGTGGCGGCAGGAGAAAGCTTCTTGCTAGCGTCAGACATACAGGTATATTCGATGACTTTATTGATGAGCCCTTTTGAGTAAGGCTCAACATTGTCTCCCTGTCTTTCAAAATTAATGCCGAGGAATCCAAAGATTCCACTTTTTCTTCCATGGTGAGGTCATATCCAAGCTTCTGGAGCTGCCCAACATAGGACTCAATCAGATCATTGTCTGGACTGAGCCAGATTTGGTCATCACAAAATTTAATACCATGGTTGATGCTCCTTATGAATAAACAAACATGGGTCTGCTGCCAGGTTTCGAAACCAATTTGGATCATCCCGCGACATAGATGCTCATAAATAATTTAGGTGAATCGGTCTGCCCATAGATGGACTTGTCAAGTTTCAAAACACAGTCCTGTCCTTCATATCCTTTGGTCGATAGTACTGAGGCATTCCATGTACAGTGGCTGTCGACAGGTTGTAGGGCTTTGACAGAAAGCAAGAGTAAAATCACTTGTCTCGATTCCCATCCATGTGCAGCTGCAAGAAGAAGACCGGCTCTAACGGTGGGCCAACCAACAAGTGAGAGTATGCGACGCCTTCATAGGACTGAAGGTCACCTCTGAGCAACCATCTAGATTTGAACATTATTTAATTGTCCGTCGGTAACCTCTTAATTCTTTGCACCCATGTTCCAGGAACCGCCTTTAAGTGTGAGGGCATAGAAGAACGCTGTACGATGTGCCAAGTCCCTTTGCCTTAAAGGCTGGCAATTTCTTGTCCATTGCTGCCCAGAAATGGTCTGCATGTGGTCCCATCAGAGATTCCTTCAGAGAGGGGAGATCAGGGTCTTTGGAAATTTTGGCCTTGAGAGCCAGTGGCTTTGAAAGAAGCCAGGATGAAATGGATTCCTGGATGTTGGTCAAGGTGATAACCATTCACCTGAATTGCATCATGTGCCCAGAAATGTGAGTAACTCAAAGGCAAAGCTAAAGCAAACTCAACAGTATGAAGGCGCGCATATGTCTTCAACTTTTGGTCCATGTTCAGAGTCTTAGGCTGCTTGCTGTGGGCTGTTTCTTACTGGGATACGACGAGGGGCAGAGATTGGCTCGATGTGACATCAGTGGTGGGAGTTCTGATGGTGGGAGGCTCCCTGTCCCAAGAAGAGGGAAATTTGAGTCTGACAGCTGTGGTGGCAGACGACTGGAATCTCCCTGTGTTGAAATCTGGGGCTGTGCTGGAGACGAGCTTGAAAATGAAGATGCACCCTTTTTATCTTTGCTACTTGTCATCATGCCATAATTTTCTCCCATGTCGAAGTTCTGAGAGATGATGATCGGTCTTGTTGATGGCCTTTTCTCCTGGTAGTAGCCACTCGTCTGCTAAGGAGGTTGAGTGGTCCTCTATCAAAATAGGTCCTCGAAGAGTGGAGAGATGCACATGCTCTGGGTCCTACTCTAGGAAGTTGGTTGCATCTTGCTAATCTCCTCACTATATCTCACCATCTAGACCGAGCACCGAGATGAAGAGAGAGATAGAAGATCAACCACCTCAGAGTGACCAACATGTGCAGCTTCCAACGCTTCGAAACACTATTTGATGAGGACACTCCACCTCATTAGCAGACGAGTGGCCTACTCCAGAGGAAAAGGCCATCAACCAGCACGGATCTCATCTTCAGAAGCGTCGACATGGGAGAAAATTATGGCAGGATGACAAAGGCAAAGATAAACAAGGGATGATCTTCATTTCAAGCTCCGTCTCCAACACAGACCCAGGTTTCACAAAGGGAGATTCAAGATCGTCTGCCACCCCCTCAGACTCAAAATTTAACCTCTTCTTGGGACCAGGGAGCCTCCCCACCTCAGCCAAACTCCCACCACTGGCATGTCCACAGTCGAGCTCAATTACTCTGCCCCTCCTCGTAATCCCAGTAGGACAGCTCACAAGAAGAAGCCTGAGATTCTGGACATGGACCCAAAGTTGAAGACATAGTCGCGTCCTTCATCCCTTTTAAGTTGTGCTTTAGCTTTGACCTTTGGTGTTACTCCTATTTCTGGGCACATGATGACATCTCAGGTGAATGGTTACTCACCTTTGACCAACACCAAGGAATCCTTTCATCCTGGCATTCTTCAAAGGCCACTGGCTCTCAAGGCCAAAATTTCCAAAGACCCTGAGATCCCCCTCCTCTTTGAAGGAATCTCTGATGGACCACATGCAGACCCACTTCTGGCAGCAATGGACAAAGAAAATGCCAGCCTTGAAGGCAAAGGGACTTGTCACATCGTACAGCGTTCTTTTATGCCCTCACACTTAAAGGCGGTTCCTGGAACAAGGGTGCAACGAATTAAGAGGTTACCAGACAGAAAATTAAATAAGTTCAAATCTTGATTGTGCTGCAGAGGAGACCTCAGTCCTATGAAGGCGTCGCATACCCTCCACTTGTTGGTTGGCCCCATCCGTGAGAGCCGGTCCTCTTCTTGCAGCTGCACATTGATGTGAATCGAGACAAGTTGACTTTACTCTTGCTTTCTGTCAAAGCCCTCAACCTGTCGACCAGCAACTGTACATGGAATTGCCCCAGTACTATCCACCCAAAGATTATGAAGGAAAGGACTGTGATTTGAAACTTTACAAGTCCATCTATTGGCAGACCGAGTTCACGTAGATTTTATGAGTATCTATGTCGCGGTATGATCAAACTTGGTTTCTAAACCTCGGTAGCAGACCCATGTTTGTTATTCATAAGGAGCATCAACTCCTGGTATTAACTTATTGTGATGACCAAATCTGTCTCAGTCCAGACAATGATCTGATGAGTCCTATGTTGGGCAGCTCCAGAAACTTGGATATGACCTCACTATGGAAGCAAAAGGTGACATCTTTGGATCCCTCGGCATTAATTTTGAAAGAACGGGAGACAATGTTGAGCTTACTCAAAAAGGGCTCATCAATAAAGTCATCGAATATTCTGGTATGTCTGACGCTAACAAGAAGCTTTCTCCTGCAGACACCGATCCTCTCGGAGCAGACAAACTGGGGGCCCCAATTTGAGAAGAAGTGTGGAGCTATCCAGCTGCTGTTGGGATGCTTCTTTATTTTGCGTCGAACACTCGCCTAGACATCACATTTAGTGTCAACCAGGTGGCACGATTCAGTCACAATCCAGGCATTCCCATGCTCAAGCAATCTAACGTATCATTCGGTATCTGAATGGCACAAGTGACAAAGGCATTTGTTTTTGCCCTAAACTTGATCAGGGATTTGATTGTTGGGTCGATGCGGACTTCGCCGGATTGAATGGATATGAGAAGGAACCAGATCCTGTGTCCGTCAAGTCTCGCACTGAATTTGTCCTGACTTACTGTTTGGGGGCCCTATTATCTGGTCCAGAAAGCTACAGACTGATATTACTTTGAGCTCCACTGCTGACGAGTATGTTGCCTTCAGCATGTCAATGAGGGAGCTGCTCCCTATGCGACCTTTGCTCAAAGAAATTGGTAGCAAACGTAATATGCCGGTAATTACTAACAGTCTCGTTCGCTCTACATTGTTCGAAGAACAACCAAGGTTTGGCTTGTCTCTGTGAATGTTTCCAATATGTCTGCGCGCAACAAGTATTTGGCTTTGAAGTACCATTTCTTCAGGCCCAATATCGGGGAGTCGAAGGTCATCGTGTCTAAGTATATTCCGACTCCTGAACAACGGGCCGACATTTCACTAAGGGTCTTCCAGCTCCACATTTTGCTGTCATTCGGAAGCTCCTCATGGTATGTTAATTTACCTCAGCACTTGCTGGGGACTCTCCCTATCGTTTCTTGCTCCAGCTTCATTTCAGCTGTAAGGGAGTGCGACGGGATACAGCTTACAATTCAGCTTTACAGCTTTACAATTAGCAGGCTATTCTAGAAAATAATCAATAACTGGGCTCACTTATTTGGAAATACAAACTTTACATCTCTTAGATCGTTAGATTAATCAATGCACAATGGTATTGTCGCAAATGCAAACCACCGAAAAGAATGTATATCATTTGCCTGGTTGAGAGTCCTGGCATCTTGGATTGAATGCTTCAAGCAATTTGGGTTCTTCGTGGAACAGCTAACGAAGGTACTTGGGCACTGCATGGGAGTTTCAATCATCCACAATTCACATATCAACACAAGGGCGACTCCTGCCCTTCTTCTGTTGTCTTACCAGCATGAGAGACAACGCAGTGGGCCAACTTGAGACATGGTTGAACAACCACCCCGTGCAAGAATAGGACTAGAAGAATTTGAAAGTCCAAGAATGATAATCACAATGTCCCGCAACCACACAACAAGGACAGCTTTCGTCTCGAAGAAGTAGAAGATTGGTCCGATGAATTCAGAGGAGAGTGACTGCAGCCCAGAGAGTCTCTTATTATCCCACTACTCTTCGGATGATGTCAAACCTTGGAGGAAAATCGAATCCAAGCCCTCTTGTGGATACACAAGAAAAAGACACGCGTTGCCCCTCTCCCCACTGCTGGTGCAAGAACAATAGCAAAGCAATTGGGTTTTCACTCGAATGGACGACCTGACGGTATCCACGGAAGAGAGAAGCGTACGTCACAGGTTGAAACGGCTGTGCGCTCGTTCGCTAGAAAGAGTGTTGTAGTCTACTAATTGCTTTCTTTTCTACTTTCTTGACAGACATGGACTAAGCTCATGTTGCCAGTTTAATGGTTCAATGCATCGAGCATTCTCTGGGTGGCCTCTCGTTCCCGTTCTTCTTGCTCTTTTCTTTCCTTTCGGCACTTCCGCACGCCTTCCTGCCAGTTCGGGTAGTCGAAGGCACTCAAGAAGGCATGAACTTTACCACAGTTTTCTTCGGTTCCTTCCATTGCATTTTGCGTGATCCAGGTTCCAATGGAAGACGTTGTCCAGATACCTTTGGTACGTTCATCCTCGTTGTAGGAGTCCTCTTTCCTCCTGTCGCCCTTCAGCTCCACAAACTCGACCGAAATGGAGCTTGCGGAGGAAGCGCTTAAAGTCCACTGCGTGGTTTCAGACGACTGTAGTTTCGCCAGACTTTCCTGCCATTTCTTTTTCTCCTCTGCTGCGGTGACGTCAAAGATCTCTCCTGCGGCATCCTCCGTCAATTTTGAGACGCAACGATTCAAGCACACCAAGATTTTCGGATCGCGGCTGCGGGACGAGTTCTGGAGTATCTTTTGAATCACAGCCACGTCCACCTCCGTTGGCAAACCCGCATACTCTCTGATGTAAACAAAACAAGAGCAAAGATTCAGTGCAGCCTTTTCAAATTTCCCGCGAATGCCAGTCTCTGGCCCGGTCACACCAGGGGTGTCAAGAACAGCGAACCCAGGGACGCTGGGAAAAGAGTAGGGCGTAACAACTCGGGTCTCCCCTTCTCCACCAGTGATACCCGTGGCAAGTGCAAGGTTTGGTTTTTGTAGCAGCTGAGAAAGGAGCGTCGTTTTCCCTGAATCACGGGGCCCGCAAACTGAAATCACAGTTCCCTTCATCCTAGCTTTCTTCACTTCATGAAGCTTCCGGATCACGGCTATGCGTGCTCTTATCTTCTTTTGTGATGGGGGGTCGTAGTCATCGAACGTGGGGAATTTTGTTGGCGTCGTCGTTTTCTTCCCTTTTTGATGTGCGTCATGAGCCTTTAGAAGTTCTTCTTCCAACTGAAACTCAGATCTCGATCGGGGGGCCCAACCTGTGTAGACCTTGACCAAGTCTTGCAGCATGACATAGTAATTCGTTCGGAGTCGTGACCAGCAGAGATTCTGGGCTACTCCGCCTCCAGCGGCGCTCAAAAGAGCAGCCGACACCCATCCGCCTGTGATGCGGCCAACGCCCATCATCACACCCAAACCTCCGGCAGAGATTACGCCACCTCCGAGAAGGAAAGAAGAAGCTACAATGGCCGCGAAGCACCAAACCTGTGCCTCTGTCTGTAGTGGAAGCCCTTCCGGAGGCACAATCCAATCATACAAAGCATCTCGAGTCTTCCTCATGTTGCCTGCATCTCGAGTCTTCCTCATGTTGCCCATGTTGCCTGGATACGTTCCAACATCTTCAAGACGCTTCCATGATGCTTGCATTGAGAGAAACGTCGTGTCCTTTCCACAATTTCGATCCGCCTCCTCCTGGAAATCCTGGAGCTTGACACTGAGCCTGTCATCATTGAAGAGCTTCTTCATTATCCACGCATGCTGCTGGGTGTCAAGAAAGAACTGCCCGCCGTAGAAGGCAAGAGCGTCGTCCGCCACACCAACCGCATCATGACACTTATTGCGCGGCAACTCAGCCTTGACCTTACTAGCCACATATCCTTGGGTGACCACATCAGACCGCACCAAGATCGTAATATCTTCTCGTGGTTTCGCAATCGCTGCCTCTTTCAATTCTTGCTCCATGACAAGAACATTCGTGTTCCTCCGGCTAAGTTGAGATGCCTCAACAGCGTCACGACTCCATTTGCCATCAATTTCGTCGGGATCGACCGTGTCGATGTCTGCAAAGTCAAGATTAATGCCACACACTCTAATCAGTCGATAGCAAATACCACCTTTCTTCAGAGTTTCACAAAGTACTTCCTGGACCTCTGGCTTTAGATTGGATGGACTAATCGGACTTTCGACGTGCTCTCCTGGGTTGTTCAGATCGGCCCAATCTTTCCTGAGGCACATTTTTGACACAGTCTCCCCCCGGGCCTCAAGCAGCTTGCGATATGCGGGAATCCCATGTCGAGAGAGATGTTTGCGGTCCCGAAGATCCTGAGCAAGTCGTTGCCAGTCTTCTCGGCAACGAAAGGAAGTTCCAACCTGTTCAGAAAGCCCGTGTGCTTCGCTTGCTTTGAGAGTGACAGTCTCGTTTTCAAGGTAAACGCAGCGGCCAATTGAAACGAACTGCAACCATGCGCTGACACTATTTGGTGAGCCTTTCTGGATCGCCCGTGCCAATTCGACTGGTTTTTCTCGCGAGTTCAGAAATCGCAAACAAGCTGAAAACAGTCTTGAAGATGGGCTTGTCGGGCCATCATCCACACTACAAAGCGCAGCAGCAAGGTTCATGACTCGGGGAATGGGGTCCTGAGGATCCACGACATTGATGATGCGGTCGACCCATCCTTGTTCCTTGATACTATCAAGCAGGTCCTCATCGCCAAAGTGAGGAGCTCCGAATCCGACAGATATCGCATCGTCGTCTGCAAAACGGCCTCGACTGCCTTGCTGAGTGCTCAGAAACAAAATCAACACGAGATGGGCCACGGCCCCACCCAGGCCATGACCACAAAAGACAATTCTCGAGGCCCTGCTTTGCTGCGCCAATCTCTCGATACCTTCTCTCGGAATGTCCGAGGCTCGTTTGGAAAATCCAATTGCTTTTTTGTATTGTGTAGAAGCATCCTCCCAATCACCAGAGAGATATGTCCCTGCAAATGCGCAGAACAGAACTCTGGAACTGTGCCTTTTACACACAGCAATCACGTACTTCTGGCCGAATTGGGTTGAAAAGAAACAAACTTCACCCACAATTTTGTAGTCGTCGAGGATCGCTTTGATTTTGGTCGCTTTGTCGTCCTTGCAGTCCACAACATCGCAGAGCAAGGTTGCAACATCGATTTCAAAGTCTTGAACTTCAAGAGTCTTCATCAAAATTTCGTTGGTGCAAAGAGAGATGTCGTAGCAAAAAATGATTTGAATGGGCCCGTTTGCCTGTTCTTCTTAAGAGATATCGATTGATCGTTCAATTCGTTTATGATTGGCTGCTAGCGGTAGCAGCTAGCCAGGCAACAGGACATCCCTACCTACTTGAAATTTTCATGCTGAAGTGCAAAACTCGACTGCCCAGAGGTGGCGGGACAGAGCAACCTTAGAAAGGTAGTTGAGGTAAAATGGCTTTGCTGTGAAGATTCCATTGAATTCACTTAGACTACCAGTAAAAGTAGTTTACCGCAGCTGCCTGACTGCCAAAGCTTTTCCCCGCACTCTTCCAGCCTGAAGGGACGGGATCAAAACTCTCCTTGCACTTGAGTGACCAGATGTTCGTGAAAGGTGGCCGCACAAATAATTCGTTGCCAGAAAAAGCTGCTCTAGCTAGTGGGACGATTGCCTCATAGCTTGAGGTGCGAGTCTTCAAAAGAAAGCAGCATTCGGTTTAGTGATCCTCGGTCTACCATGGTCGGGATCGGCTTCCACCGTCCCTGCTCTGTAATGATGGCATGGTCGAAGCATCTATCAACAGTTACGATGGTGCCAGAAACAGAGCCAATTGCTCATCGAAGCGTGAAACGAATGATTGAATGAAGACCATACCTATTGATTTTTGGACATGTAGAATATGTACGACAACAAGGATTATGAGCTGTGACGCACCGTACCTTCCGGTATGGAAATGCGACGAACAAGGACAGCCACTGCTGAAGTGATACTAAAACTTGTTTTACTAATAACGGAGTCAACAAGCAACTACATTTTAGAGCCTTGAATTCACATGTCTACAAACTATTCCTCTTTCTCTTGTTTGACTTGATGGAAAGGATTCCTTGCAACACGTTGTCAGCTTTGGTGTACACCTTTTCGTCCTTGAAGCGTTCCATGACTGCCCCCAACAAAGACACTGTTTGTATGCCTTCAAACATCGTCCGGTTTGGACCAGAGCATTTCTTGGTGGCCTTGTGAAAGATGTCACATCCGCGGCTCTGGACGTTCCCAGAACTTTGGTAGTTCTTCATAATGGTCGCAGTAGTCTCCATGATCTTCAGGTGGAACAGTTCTTCAAACGTATAGACATCCATGAGTTTTTCCACCAGACCAAGTGCTCTGACAGCAACATTGCTAAAGTTAGCAAGTGAAGTAGCGGCCGTCAAGGCAAGGTCAATCGCCCCCAATGCCACCAAGCTGGTTCGCATGTACGTGTATTCATCAAAGGCGATCTTCTTGCATCGTTGTTGATTGGCCAAATGGTCCAGAGCCTGTAGCGATGTCAGCTGGACCGTTACATTGTCGGAATAGAGTCGCATGGCTTTGATGATTGTGGCATGACCACAGACTCGATACAATGCCAGAGTGGTTTCATCTCCTTCGCTTTCTTTCTCCAGCAGAGTATTCAGTCCAGCGAGAGCAGTTTTGGTTTCTTCCGAGTCACCACGAGAAATCAGCCAGAGAAGCTTGGGGAGATCTTCGTGGACCTTGGGGAAGAGCTGTTGGATTCTCAATGTATCCTTCTGCATCTTTGGATTTTCATCGGAACTTGTGGTCGCAGATGCCTTGACTGCCGACGATCTACCGATGGACATGCGTCGGAGCTTCACTTCTGATTTGGGGGTTGTCATGGTTGATTGTTCTTTCTAGATGCTTTCTGTCTGTTTGCAACTGCTGTACTGTTGTCTGTTTGCACTGACCTAGCTAGACTAGCTTGGTTGTGACAAGAGAAGAGAGATGAACGTTGAACAGGATTTCGACTTCAGTTTTTCAAATTAATGCCGGCAAAGCTGCCTTGAAATCTTTGCACCTCTTTCTCCTCCCCATTGGCCAAGAAGGTCGAACCGACCCAACCTCGGACTCGAGGATCATGTTTGCGCAGATACCGGTACCGCTACCGGTAGATGAGAATGAGCAAATCCACAGCAACGAAGGAAAGAAGGATGTCAAAATATACCGTACCTACTAGCGCCACACCATTGCCACATTCGACGCACTAATTGACCGGTACCGTAGTAGCTTCTGTATGAAGATTCGATTCCACCGGTGTTGTAATTTGCACAAAGATTTCGAATGGTTGATCGGCGAGGCCAAACCTAGAGCTAGTAGAAACGTTTCAGGCAGGAGAGTGCAGATTTCTAGCTAGTCTAGTAGCTAGCAATGTACGACGCAATGAGCAAGGGCATGCTGCTCCCTGATGTCGAGAGTGCCACCTTTAAAAATATGAGTCACCACCCGTTGCGAGCCATTTTGCGATTGCCTCACCACCAACTCTTAAAAGCTGCGAACAATTATTTGATCAACAACGCTGCCGGGTTGTTGCTTAGTAGGGCGAGTCGGAAAAACATTCTTGACCTGAATTTTTGAAAAAAATTGTTGTTGATTGAGTTTTCAAACCAAACTGAAGCCCTCGCATTGCATTTTGTGGGGAAACTGCCCAGGCCCAAAACCAGTGCAGTTGAGTAGCAACAGTAGCATTCTTTCTCTATTTTCGTCCTAGCCAGCTAGCTGTTTTGTGTTGGAAGTCTCTTTTGATACACTTCCTTTTCCATTTCGACCTTGACCAGATGCTTTCCCGGAATCATGGCCTGCGCCAATTCCCTTTGCACTGGAAATTCTTTGGGCGACATCTCCGGACTGTAATCCACTCGATTGATGACTCTCCGTTCAATCACATCCATGAGAATCATATTTTTGCTGGTGTTCGTTGTTGATAATGTCGTTTGTTGTCGTATAGCGTATAGCAGTAATTTCCATAGAGCGGCAAAAAAGATTTGTGATTGGTGAGGGTCAACAATAAAAAAAGCAAACAATTTCTGAATCACAACAGGAATACACTCCAATGACACAAAACTTCCTACTAGTTGTACGCTGCTGTAGTAGACTTACAGTCGATCCAGACAAATGAATGTTCCCGTAGCCGTTCGACCATCGCTGAGCGTACACTTGAGCCGTGCCCCCAATAACTTGTACATGGCCAATTCCGCAGGATCCGTGGGGATTGGCTTTGATGTGACGGCATCGGCTGGAATGTCACTACTGGTCACACCCATCGCATGCGGCTGGTGGTAGTAGTAGTCGTCTTCCGAGGAGGATGCCATGGTCTCTCTTGAGAACAACAAAACAACGACGGCAACAAGCAACCAGTGGAAGGTGGACAAACCACAGCAGCCAGCCAAAATTCTGACAAGGGTTTTCGTCGATGCTCTCACTTGGTCGAGACGACCGTCAAGACCGTAAAACAGCTTTGACATCAGGAGCATCGCGTCATTTTTTGGTTACTTAAGGCACATTGAAATTGGAAGTCTCCCATTCGACAGAAGCATTTTTAGGAGAATTGGGCAGGTTGACAATCGAGAAAGACACGCACATCCTTGGGAACGCCATCAAAAAGATTCAAGTGCATCGATTTCAGCTTCTTGATGCCGATCCTCTTTCTCAATCATCACATACAGATCCAATCGTCACCCCTGTCAAGCAATTGCAGTGCATTGCATTGCCAGCCAGCTATCTGGAGCTCTACTCGTAGAGCTTGTTACGCCAACTCACTGCCTCCTACCTCCCTTCCATTCAAAGCAAAAACAAAACAGACTATTCCTGAGGAAACCCAGGAAACAAAGTGTCAGTTGAGTTTTGTTTGAGAAAGCAAGATGAGCGCTGCTTCGTCCATTCCTGACTATGGTCCACAGATGGAGCTGGTCCATCAAGCGTTGGATGAGTAAGTGAAGCCATTGAAAGGGACCAAAACGAAGTGGATGCTTTGGTCTGGTCTCATCCATTCTCTCTTGTTGTGTTGCACAGAGTCGCCCGATTTTTGATTGCCAACGCTCCCACCATTCAAGAATGGACGCTCGAACTCATGGATACGATTTTTATGCCTCGCACTGTGGCCCGGCAGTTGGCACTGGCCGTGGCGTTGGATGCTGGCTTGGTCACTGTGAGTTCCATTGTGGGAGCTGTGCAACACTTGCTCTCCAATTTCTCTTCCAGAAGTCGACTCATTCGACAATTGAAGGAAAAACAAGAAGGAGCCACTACGCAAGATGAATGGATCGAATTGGCATTGAAAATTGATAATGTACAGGGAAATGATGTATGGAGGTATGTGTGAAAGTGTGTGTGTATGATGTGATCGAGATTTGACTCCAATCTACCAAACATTCACTTCCTCATTTTCTGTTCTCTGGAATATTCGTTTGCATCATGTTCATCGTCATCATTCAACCATCAACAAAAACAAAAAATATTCATAACAAGATCCGACCCCAACTGCCCACTCTATGAACGAGAACGCATCAGTGCCCGTGTCGATGAATTTGTTCATTTGATGCGGCGCAGAGATATTTTTGAACTCATGTTCGTCCTTCGAGGAGGAATTGCGCGCAACAAATTTGGGTTGCTGCACGAAGGACTATTCAGCAAGGCTCTTGCGGGGACCAAAGTGTTGGTGGAAACCTATCACAACGTGGTTTGTGCCGCGTTGGATTTTGTCTGTGATGCCCCGGTGCCCGATCCAGAATCCTTTCCCATCCCCACCGAAGCGAGATTGGCATTCTTTAATGAAACACGACATGCTTATGGAAGATCGTCGCTTTTATTGAGGTTCGTTCCTTCATTCTTTTGCTTGCTTTTTAAATGGTGTACGACACTCATCTGGATTTGGGAAGGAGAAACTGACGTGCTGATTGTTTTTTCTTTTCCGCTGCCGTCTTTGACTCTTTTTATCTACTCAGCGGTGGAGCTGCTTGTAAGTGCCGATCACCTTCTTGGCAATGACGCTGCTGCATGAAAAAAATGTTCTAACTGGTGTTGATCGACTTTAACTTTTGTACGATTGATTAGTGGGATTCTACCATGCGGGTGTCGTCAAGGCGTTGATGGAGAATCATCTCATGCCGCGAGTGATTGGAGGGAGCAGTGCCGGCAGTATTGTATGTGCCATGGTGGGAACTCGTACCGATGAAGAGTGCCTGGAAGGCATGTTGCAAGGAAAGGGAACCCATGCCCCGGGACACTCGGGCAACATGAATTTCAATTTCTTCCGACCCATGCCAGTCAAGGGCACCTTGGCTCTCCAGGATCCCAAGCGAACCTGGCAAGTCTTTGTGCCCATTGGATTGCGTACCTTTACATCGGTGGTGTACGACGTCTTGACGGGAAATCGTCGTCCTCAGGATGCATTTATGAATGACACCAATCATTTCCGGAATGTTTGCAAGGGCAACATTGGAAATTTCACCTTCCAGGAAGCTTTTGACCGCACAGGGCGTATTTTGAATATTGTTGTCACGCCAAAGTCGTCGTCGGACCCGCCGCGCCTTCTCAACTACTTGACGGCTCCCCACGTTATGGTTTGGAGTGCCGCCGTGGCCAGTTCCAGTTTGCCAGGTGTCTTTGAAGCAAATCGTCTCATGGTGAAGGATGCTGATGGAACTGAGCGCTACGAAAGCGCTGTTGGAATGCAATTCAGCGATGGCAGCATGGAGAACGATCTTCCCATGCAACAATTGAGCGAAATGTTCAATGTGAACCACTTTATCATTAGTCAAGCCAATCCACACGCCGTCATGTTTGCGTCCTATAATCAAGAACGGAGCGTTTGGGTCAACCCGGTCACAGGAATGCTGAACTCTCTCTTGATTTTCTGTAAGGATCAAGTCCGAGCGTGGTTGTCCCATTTGGTGGAATTGGTCGGTGGACGCAGGATTGCGCCTCTCTTTGCCACCCAGCGAGATATCGGAGCGCAGTTCTTCACCCAAGAATATGAAGGTACGCAACATGCTGGCGTCAACTCAACCAAATGCCAACTGCAGCAGCAGGACTTGACTCACGCTTTTGTATTTTAAAAGGACGCGAATGTGATATTAGTCTGATTCCATGGAAGTCTCATCGTGGTCTCTTGAGTGCCTTTCTGCATTGCCTCTACAATCCCGTAAGTTCAGGAATACACCTTTCGTGGTTCGAGATGCCGCCACACGCGTTTTAACTCTCATGATACTGTACCCATGCACACCCAGACGTTGGATGAGTTCCACGAGTGGGTAAAGGCCGCAGAAGCAGAAACCTGGAAGCACATTCCTGCAATCAAATCTCACATTGCAGAAGAGGTAACCCTTGACCGCTGCGTGCAACGCTTGCGGAAACGAATTGTTTCGGAGGCCTGGGCAAAGAAACGCAACAACAGCGGTGTCTCGGCTGGGAAGATGGGTGAACGTGTCCCCAGTTTCTTCACTAGTCCGAGTCTGGTCAACTTGAGTGGGTTGGGTATTTCAGACCAGACTAAACTGGGAAGCTTTGGCGAAGTCGAGGATGTACGCTACCAAAGACCGGAACTTCGTGATCCCAGTCGACAGGGTGTACAAACTGCTGGATCCATGCCAGAGAGCGACATTCCCACAACAACAATCCCCAACAATCATGGATGGGGCGGCCTTGGCTTGAATGGCAATCGATCCAGTGGAAGCTTGAATCGGATTCCATCGACTGCGTCGGGACTCTTTATTGATGGCGACGACGAAGCAGTGCATCATGCAGCAGAGTCCACGGGAGGGCAGCAAATTGCGGGTGAGGTCACCAAGGTTCCGTCTATCGAGAATCGAATGAATGCGAAGGTAGCCGTTTCCAGCGGCTATTTCAAGACTACAACCATGGCTCATTTTTATTATCGAAACACATCGGATTCATCGGACATCCGCAAGTCCGTCAGCGATCACGAAATCATAGATGGCTCACAGAATGCATCCCAATCTGGTAGCGCTCGAGCTGGTCATGGACGAAGGAAATCTCAGAGCCAAGGAGATCTGAACAAGATCATGGGCACGATTGCTTGAGCCCCTTGTCGGTTCCGTGCCGTTTTACACTTTTGAAATTGCCTTTAGAGCCGATTTTTGCCTACGTAGTTTCGTTTTGTACTAGCTGGACTCGACTCTCGCATCTTGTCCCAGTCCCCATACGGCACCGGTGAAACAAAACAGGTCACCCTTGTCCTCCTCGATAGAACGCCGGAAATCGGTTTCATTGGGTAGTGGGTAGGTCTACTGCAAACTAAAACATGGTTCGAATCAAATAGTAATATTATAGAACGAATCAATTAGCATTCAAGCAGCTCTGGAGACGACGCCAAAGATAAGGGCCTACAAGAGCGATGCTGCTGGATCGTGGGCGAAGAAATACGGTTCCAACCCCTCACTCATCGCAAGGACGACCAAATGGGAACACTTCGTCCTTCAGTGCGTATTTCCCGTCTTTCGTCTTCTCCGTGTACTTGCTCAGCGCCGAAAGATAGGTCCCAAAGCTCTTGTTGTTCTCAATCCCCATCTTATCCGCAAGCTCGTCCTTGGACCATGCGCGTCCATCCGCCAAAATTTCAAAGATCTCTCGGGATCTCTTGTTCTTGAGCTGCTCCTTGATCTTGTCATGCATGGCATCGTTTGTCGCGGCAACTTCCAGAGCTGCCGGTCCAACCTCTTCACGTCCTTTCTCGGTAAGTTCAATCGTTTCCTTGTCGTAGACAATCAATCCTTTCTTGTTTTTCATCGTGCCACAGTAGGTATCAAAAGTCTTCTTGTCGGGAATTCCGGCCATGGCTTGTGCTTGCTTCTTGCAGGGCTTCGCCTGGCCCAAAGCATGCAACGATGCAACGGCTTGCAATATCTTCTCGATATTGGTAGGTCCACCTTTGGCCTTCTTCGCTTGGGTGGGTTTGCCCTTGGAGGGAGTGGTCTTGGTGGATGATTTGCTTGCCTTTGCCATCTTGGATGAAAGTGATTCAAGAGAAAAGAGTAGTGATTCAAACCTTCTTGGAAAAGGAGACAGGTGGATTGAAATGAATGCACAACTATGAAGAATGACGGGAGCAATCAACAGACTCTCCTGTTCGTTGGTTGCTTCGATCGTGGAAGTTTTGAAACGCATGGGAGTTGTTTCGTTCACAGGGACTACACGAGCGTTGTAGTGCATTCAATTTGTCTCTCCACGTTGAACTTTGATGTTCCTCTACCTCTTTGTGACACGATTCTGTTGCTTTTGATCATCAACGGTCGATGCAGGGTCTATTCATTGGTCCTGGCAGGCAAAGTATCTGAACATTATCACCAAATAGGAAGTCTCGACACCAATCGTTGCACATCAAATCGTGTGGGTCCACATACATCGTGCCATATGGCATAACGCATACATGTACATTCAGCACAGAGTTTGGTTCAAACCGGTTGCAAACTTTGGTTCCCGTGCGGCATTCGAAAAACAAAACAAAAACACGATGCCTTTTTCATTGCCTATCGGTTCAGTAGCAGTTGTAAGGAGCAAGCAAGTTTCTATTGTGCCGGACCCAAACGCTCAAGCTTCATTCAATCGTCAAGCCGTAATTCATGTGAAGCTTCCTTCCGGAAGTGAAGGAGAATGTGCGATCTTCCATTGTAGCCGCGAGAGTCGATTTCTGAAGACTCGACTCTTGGATGTACCGGTATGCATAGATGGCACCTGCATCAGCATATTGTTCTCTCAAAGTGTCTCAATATCAAGTCATGTGCATCGCCCCTACTAGTACATATCAACCTACATTTACATCTTTTTCTTGTTCAATTTGTGTAAAAAAGTTTTCGTACCAGTCGCCTTTGGAATGTACTAGCCAGACCATGTTAATGGCTTGAATGATCCCGCAGTCAGCGACCAGTTTCATTTCTCGTTGAAACCCAATCCCTCGTTGCTTCATCTCCAACCGATTCATGGTGTTGTAGTACTGATTAGCCATCATACGGACCATGTTGGCAGCCTTGTGAAAGGACGGAGTACTCAACCCCGATTTGCCTTGTGCCAACGCCTTGCGCAGCCACAGAATGGACTGGACCAAATCAACGGTATGATCGGCAGTCCCATCAAACCAGTACGTCATGGCATAGCGAACCTGTGCATCCGCCAGTCCATTTTTAGCGGCAGAACGGGTCCAACGAAGCGCCTCGTCATCTTTTTGAGCACGAGTCGCCAAGAGGGCCATGCCAAATTGAGCATTGGGATCACCACAATGGGATGCCACTGACTGGAGCAACTTCATGGCCTCTTTGAGTGTCTGAGGGCCTCCATTGGGAAGATGTGCCAGGTCACTTGGATCGACTTCATTTTGGAGGCACTGTTGTGTCAAAAGCATGATATCCTCAGAGCTGATGGAACGAACAGCAGCGGACGAGGATTCGTTCGCTGTATCCTTTTCACCTTCTTTCTCTTTGTCAATGCAAACAACCTCGGGCCCTTTCAAATCCAAGTCATCCCACTCAGCGAATTGTATTCTTGAGAGTTTGGAGCACACTGCCTGATGCTTGTGTTGGTGATCGCTTTGACATTCTTCCGAGCAGTAGCGAACACATCGACAGTCCTCGCACACCACCTGGGCTTCCGGTGAAAAACACTCTGGACAAACTTTCAGGGTACTCCACAGAACGGGGAGTTCTTCGGCAATCCCCAGCGACAAGAGAAACTCCTTTTCAAGCGGCCAAGGCATGACGAGTATAATACGTTAGTGGTACTGGTACCAGGATCGGGTTGTCTGACCAAGGATGTGTGTTGGATCTTTTGTTGCCGCCGAGCTAGCTATTACCGGTAGCAAGGGCTCGGATCTTTGGGAAATGAAAGGATCCTGTCACCTACTAGCACATAGCTCAAGGTTTTAAGCCAGTGAAGCTGCATGTAGTCCAAGTGGCCATGGAAGGAGAGCAGGTTTGGGCCTGGAGTAGAGAGGCTCGTAGCGATGGGTGGAAGGACTTGTATTGAACACCCACACAATGGCCCTCACTGGCTTCCGTATATAGATAATCTACCTACTCTAACCCCCTAAAATCTACTAGCCAGGTAGATACCGTACAGTAGGCAGCCTTCATCTTCAGGCTCCACAGGAGCAATCACAGCCACACAGGAGATCAGTACACCCAAAGAACACCCCCATTCGTCCCGCACATGAATGCGCGAAACCTGCTGGTATGACACAGGTTCCATTTAAGTGGCAAAGGGGCTCTGGGATAGTTCCCGTCATCATCGGATTCCCATCCAACAATAATGAGTGCAGTGTCTGTTGTAGAGATGATAGTTCCACTGGGACAGAGCCTGACAAGCTATTGTTTGCCAAATTTGTGATACGCAGACTGGCAAGTTCACCAAACTCACTAGGGATCTGGCCAGAGAGTTGGTTGTGGTCCAGCAAAAGATCGTGTAGGTCTGTCAACAGCCCAAGCTCTGTTGGCATGATTCCTGTTAGCAGATTTACCCCGAGATCTAATGCGAGATCCAGATTCTTGAGGAGACAAAGTTCACTTGGGACTGTACCAGTGATGTGGTTGTCCCAAAATGAAAGACGAAAAAGAGAAGTGAGCAAACCCAACTCACTAGGAATTGTCCCCACCAAGTCATTGCCATCTAAGAATATATGCTGCTTGCTGGTATAAAAGCCTAGCTCGCTTGGGATGGATCCAGATAGCATGTTCCGCCCCAGAAGAATCCACTCCAATGTCTCTATTTGTCCAAGCTCTGTTGGAATAGTGCCTTTTATTAATTAAAAGAGACACAAGTTAGAAATTGCGAACAGATTATCATGAGTGAGTGATCATGTGCTGTAATATTTGGAGAATATCAAGAGAACCAGGACTCAGCTTACCAGAGACGTCACTGATGTCTATAGCAAACCATTTCAATTTTGAGAGCATTCCCACCTCTGTGGAAATGGTTCCCTGCATTTGCTGATGGTCAAATAGAACAAAATGCTCCAAATTGGTCAGCTGCCACAACTCTGATGGAAGAGGGCCTTGATGGTTGCTGTTGGCAAGCAGCAGACCTCTCAGCTTGGATAGGAGGCCAATCTCTGAAGGAATGCCACCTGGTGGTTGGTCATAAATGGCCAGCCCCTCCAAATCAGCAAGCTGTCCAATACGGCTGCCAAGACTGCCTTCAAGCTGGTTGTACCCAAGAGACAGTGTTTGTAGGCTTGTCAGCATGTAGAGCTCTTCTGGAAGGTTCCCAACAAGAGTGTTTTTGTCCAACCAAAGATGCTGATACAGGCCATCTTCATTGCATCGTGGCGGTGGTGGCTCTGTGGATGGGGGAAACCCAGACATGTGCCCGTGATATAGAGAATCCATCAATGCCTTCTGAGCAAAGTCAGGTGCATTGTACCACTCACACTCGTCTATGCTGTGGTCAAGCCAGCTGGTATTATCCTTCCAAGTGTCTCCACTGGTGGCATAGTAAAGTGACACCAAGGCAAACTTTTGCCTCAAGTGAGCATCCAAGTAAGAAGGAAGATTGGGATCTTCCAACAACCATTCAAATGCCCTAAACTGAGGTGACCCTGGGTCTGCTAGAGCCACTAGGGTTTCCTCTTCTAGCAACGCCTTGATGGTTCCATCCAGAGACATGGGTGGTGCTGCTGATGGCGTACTGGTTGGAACTGCAGTCATTGGGGCAACACCATCATCCTTCTTTCTAGGAACCATGATGGCAACGATTATGATCATGACTGCCACCAATGCGATGGCTCCCAATGGAAGGGGGGGCTTGCATTTCTTGTCAGTTGAGTCTCTTGTTGATTCTTGGGTCTCAAACTCTTGAGCTTGGGGAAGATCCTGGTGAAATGTTTCATCCACTGGGTTTGCCACAGCCAAGCCACTATTACCAAGGGAGCGTTCCTGCGCTACTACTTCGGATGGAAGGCTGGAGTTTGTCTCAATCCCAGCTACTGGATGTCCTGCAAGCATGCCATATGTGGCGGCAGTTGTTGGAAGTTCGAAGCCAGGTGCCACAGAATAGGCACCCGGCGTACTAGTGATTCTTCTAGCCACTTCTTCATCACGGGTCAGGCTTGTCCGAGGCAGAGCTTGTGGATCCAGCAAATCAGCTCCGGCGCCTTCATGATTTGGATTTGTAGTTCTTGTGTCCACTTTTTCATGATGCGCCAGGTCTGTTGGAGGTGGAGCATGGGGATTCTCTAAATCAAAATTATCTGTGGACGCTGCCACGTTCATAGCCTGCCTTAATGGCAATTCTTCTGCCTGTCGTTCTGTTAAAACCTTCAAAAGGAAAGTATTGTCATCTAGAGTACCTTGTACTTCTGCCTTGACCTTCTTGCTCTCCTGTTCTTTCTCTTCTTCTTTGGATGTGGCGCTAGGAGGAACTCCTTGTGCTAGCGCTTCTTCCCCCCCTCGTTCTGAAAATGACTCCATTTTCCGGAGCTCCTCCTCTGTAAACCCAGGGATCCTGGTGTTGACAACGTCTAAAACATCAAAGCTTTCCTCTTCGTTGTTGGCTTCTCTTTCAGCTGCTTCGAACTCATCACTGGTGGTTGTCCTTCCTGAAGACTTCATGGTGGGGAACGGGAGTTACGATGGGTTACAGGGGACTATGGTGAGGGTGGGTTGCAGAGGAGGAGGTCCACAATCAATCTTTTGTGTCTCTTTGCAACTTTAAAACTGCGCCACTGGTAGATCTGCTAGCTAGCAAACTCGGTGTGGTTGCTTTGGAAGGGCAATACAAAAAGCTAGTCACGCGAGTCAATGGATTACTTGAGGGCAATAGGTATTCAGAATGGACTACCAGTATGGTGTTTCTTCTTTTTTTAAAAGTTCGTCAGATTGTGTTCCCATGGGAGTACAATGTACAAGTTTCGAAACGTCAACTAGCTAGCTAGCAGCCCTGGTCATAAATCTTTCCGTGTTCTAGTCTACCTTTAGAAGTAGTCTACTACATGTACGGGTACCGCTACCGGTACTGGCTAGCTAGTAATAAAGTACAAGCTGGGTAGTAGCTACATGTAGTATTTTACGTAGTAGGAAACCCAGTAAGGGTCAGGCTTAGGCAAAGAAGCGTTGAAATTCAGGACTAGCTAGCTACTAGCTGGTAGTAGGTAGGTTCCATAAGATCAGGGGAGATAAATTGAGGACCAACATGGGGGCCAAAAGGGCTCTATAGTACAGCACCGAATGGTACAGCGTGTGGAAGTTGTTCCTATGGTGTCAAGGAGCCTGGAAGGCACATCGTACCGGCACTGTAAAGACTTGAATGAATTATGCAGAAACGGCCTTTGTCCACGGCTTCGCTATTGTTTATTTGATCAGTACATGACCACTTGGGGGAAAGCAACCTACTCGTTCCGTATCTAGCTAGCTGGAGTTTAGCCAGCTACAGAAAGCGAGTCTGGACACACCGGAACCCAGCCACAGAGCGCTGAAGTAACTACCGGTACGGAGAGGTCACCATGGGTTACAGGGGACTATTTGGATGGGAAAGAATTGACTCGACTCCGGAGGATGAGGGCTGAGTGCGAGGTGCAAGCTGCGAGGGCGTGAGTCGAGTCGAGTCAAGTCTAATGGCGAAGAGTGAAGAGTGGTGGAAGAATCTCAACGGTGGAGGTGCATCTTTTACCGCTCTGGCAAGCGCTTTGGCCACTGAGACGTGACTTTTGGTGGACCGTGGATTGCACGACTGACAACAAACAAGGCCTTCATCGTCCATCGTGCCACAACACGATGAAAGCGTATCATTAGCGAAGAGATCAGCTACCAGTACTGGAAACAGGACACAACAACCGAGAGACACACACTCATCATGGAAGACAACAGTAAGCAGAGCAAGGGAGGCGATGGCAGCAACGACGCTGCCATCAAGGATCAAGTATTGACGGTTCTGCGGGAGCAGAAGATCAAGCTATGGGTTCCGCCGTATGTGAATGACCATGGCGAAACCGTGGAAAAGGCTTTGGAAGATCTTGTCAATCAAAATGCCGGTCTTCTCCCGGGTTCTTCACAAGGACTGGTCCTTCAGTCTCTCAAGGATCTGCAGTCGCACGCCTTGGCAAAACTGCAAGCAAAGAAGCTATCAACAACAACAGCGAGCCCCAAATCAGTCAGAACCACGTTGTTGTCGTCGACACCCGTCAACCTGGAGGCGAAAATCCTGGGGCTTCCCAAACATTTTGAAGTTGATTTGAGCAGCATTGACTGCTCCATTGCCAAAAATGTTTCCTTGTTCACGGAAAAGGCGCCCGTTCTCCGCCTTGATGGGGTGTCGCTACAGCACACGACCGACGTGCAACTGTTGGATTTTCTTCGGGCCGTCTTTCACACCAACAATGTTCGTGTCATTCACCGTGGAAAAACATTGACTGGGCCAACCAATGGTCATGAAATGGGTCCTACTTCTTTGGGTTGTCTCCTGCAATCTGCCGCGGTGGTTGTGCCTCTTTTGTGCATGGTCTCTCCCAAAAGTCAGAACAATGCGGGTGACAAAGGCCAAGAACCCGCCAACACTCTCTATTCGCGTATTGCCGCCATTCGCCAAGCAGCACGGCAAATTCGAGACAGTACCAACCTGGAAATCACGGACCAGCATGGCGTCACGGTGCCCATGTCGGCGGATGATCGGTTGGGATTCCTGACGGCGTTGGCCCTTCATCGAATGGGAGTTCAGACAGACTTGACAACACGGGAAGACGCATTGGTCTTGTTGCTGGAAGCCGACAAGGAGTGGAAGGATCATCCTCGTTTGCAGCCTTGGAAGGACCGTGTCGACAATTATGGGCTCCTCCAACTTGATATTGCATGGGTTTACCTCCAGCTCGAGTCTCTTGACAATTTGCCAGACAGCATCCAGCGCCTGGAAGAAGCGGAACGTGTTTTGCGAAAGCAAGTCCACGTAAACTTTGTGACGCTGGCATTGGCCCAAGCCGAGATGGGGAACTACAAAGAGGTAAGCCCTGGTTGATTTCAAGGACTTTGTTTCCTGCGCTTTAGCGTCCACGTGGGGCTGTCGGCTCAGCGCCGCCTCTCGTTTTGCTTTCTGCCTTAGGTTCCTCCTCTATCAGCAGTGTTTGCAAAGCTCTTCGTTCTGCAGGGGATTGCATACTTATGCGACAGCAGACTGAATCCTGGCAGCGCTGCCAAAGGTCAAGAACGGCTCAATCAGGCCTTTGTATTGTTGCAGAGTCTGCGAATGTTGGCTCCCGACGACGCCGTCCAGCAACTCCTGGAGATATCTCAACGTGACAGTATTGCACCCTCGGATGCAATTGCGGCCCTCCGTCAAAGCCAAGGCAACCTGGATGTAGCTGCGATGGCCCTGGCTGAAGCAGAAACTACGCGTCAACAACGACAACGAGACCGGGAAGTCCAACACAACCACGGGGTGTGTCAGAATGAAACAGATCCCGTGGATTTGGCCCTCGTGGAGAAGCTCCGCCCATTGTTGGGGTCCAGCGGCAGCACTGATCTGGCCGTCGGGCTGTTGCGGTTATCTAATAATGACTTGTCCCGCGCACTCGATCTCTACGCCGAGTGCGAACTTTCGCCAGATGCCGTCTCGACAAGAGTGGAAACGTTGGATGAACGCTTGGTGCAACGTGGTTTATTGAACCGCACCGTCTGGAGGAACAAGAAGCGCAAGTTGAGCCGTATGAAAGAAAAGCCTGTGGACGAAATGGCGCTGGTGACGCTGCTGAGCATGGGTGTGGATGATCGCCAGGCACGGTTGGCGCTCCAGAGCAATGCCAACAACGTGGAACAAGCACTTTTGTGGTTGTCGACTACGACAGATGTCACAACGGAGGCGGCGGCGCCTGCTGCCACTGGTGTTGCGGAAGAATCCACCGCCCCAACAGGGTCGGTCCAGGGAAAGACCGAGGGCGAAGACGAGGAAATGGCGCCGAGTGAGGAAGTTGGTTCTGGCCAAGAGGAACGTACACAGGATGATGACGAGGACGATAGCGCTGAAAGTGATGTGCACTTTGAGGATACCGTGGAATGGGCCGCCAAAGAGTTGTTGCACCAAGAATTGGGAGATATCTTGGAAGAACGAAACTTGGAAAAGGAAGTCCTTGGGCTGAGCCTGGATGAGGAGTGGCGTCTTGTACTAAAGTACCGGGGAGATGCCAACTAATTCATAAAGACGAGGAGGTGCTTCGATGCCACTGGTGCTGTTCTGTTTGCACTGCGGGCATTGCTCGATAGCCCGAAAGTCAATCATAGCCACTAACAACTCATAAAGTCACAGAAATAACACAAGCAAGTAGACTAGGTCTTGTTTGTCATTTAGCCACTTCTCATACGGTTGCTTCAATACAAATCGCTCGAATAGTTGTGAAGGCGCGGGGGTGCTTGGGGGTGTTTCGGCGGTTCCTGGATGCGAGGCTTACCTTCTACATGTATTACAGAGGAACCCGGGTTATATAAACAGAGAGCAGCAGATCATGCTACCGTACTAGCTAGCTAGCAAAAGCCTCAGAAGTCAAGAGTGATAAAAGTCACAGAAAAAACAAGCAACTACTTCTTTTTATCATTTCATTGCTTGGGAACACAAATCACACAGATCGTTATGAACGTTTTGCTCAGTACCTTTTGGGACTTTCTTTGTTTACCCCTGATTTGTACGGCATCTATCGGAATTGCTGCTGGTTCAATCCGGCAAATGTTTGGCTAGGGTGCTGGACAGGGTTGCGATTAGCGGCCAAGACGAGCCCAGTCAGGCGCCGTCTGCGCTCAGCGATAGCATAGGCAAGGCGCAGGCTAGAGGGACTCTCGTGCATCGACCCTAGACCACTGTTGTATAGGGGCGAAGAGAGCGATGACAACGACGGAGAAGCTGAGGCCATGCCAGGGCTGGGCATTCCTGGACTGGGCATCCCTGGGCTGGTGAATGCTGAGCCTGGGAATGCTGGGCTATCCTGGAGTGGGGACACCAGCATGGGTGATGCGGGTGTTCGGAAACCAGGGACCTGTCCAGAAAACTGCATTGTGGGGAGACCACGGGGGCTCTCTGCAAATGATCGTCTGTTTGGAATGGTTGGGACGCGAGGGCTCTCGTGGAAGGACATGACACGAGGACTCTCCGTGATCATCATGGGCTCGCTGGTGGTTTCCATCCTGGTGGATCCGATACTGGTCTGTCGCGTAATTCTCTCTTGGCGCCTCTTGAGGGTCTTCGAGGTAGAACTAGACTTGTATTGATCAGTCAAAGCGTCACGGAAAGTCTGTGATACCTTTTCCCGGGCCACTCGATCTCCAACCTCAAACCACTGGCCATTCTCACTGTCAAACTTGACAAAGCCTCCATCGGGACTACTGGCACGGACTTGACTGACAATGTTCTTGATCAAGTCAGTTTTGGACTTCTTGGTTGCCTCCGGTGCACTGTAAGTCCCCAAAACAGATTGGGCGATGCCAGCCAGACGAAGGTTGCCACTGTGCTTGTAGCACACTTTGCCTCTTCCAACAATCACATCCTTTTCTCCAGGTGTGAAGCCACTGCCGAGGTAGGTAGCGCCTGATTTAGAGGTAAAGGACATGGTGCGTTTGTTTTTATGCTGGAACGAAGAGATGAAAGGTAATTGCTGATTTGATACTATTATGAGCAAGTTGTGTTGTTGCTGTTCACTGGCTCTTTGTTGTTGCTTTGCTTTTCTCTGTGGTTGTGATTGTGAGCAACAGCCTCAAAAGAAGGGAATGGCGATGGAAAACGGCACAGCATGGGTGGCAAATTGGGTGGATGTATTCGTGGATTTGTCTTGATGTCGATACATGCTTCGGTGGAACAATGCTTTTAAAAAACTTAGGAGGGGCTTATCTAAAAACTGGCTTCTACGACTTATGATCTACCTAGGATGACTTTGCTGGTCATGGTGACCGCAGACCCTTCCACACCACGGGAAGGCACAATTAAAAGCGGTTTTGGCCTTCAGCCTAATCATTAGATAATAGACGACGCGAATTTCAGAAAGGGGGTCGTATTCTTATTTGCGATTCACCTAGTAAAGCCTGAAACACTATGCCTTTAACTCCTTGTATGAAACCGCGTATTCAGGTTATTACGGGACAGGAGCACCTGTGATTACCCGTGGTATTGACAACCAGGAGCAGCTGTGATTCATTATGATTCACCGTGGTTTTGGCAAGGATATTGTGGCAACCCCGCCACCTACATGTACCTGGTACCGCCAACGGAGCACTCTTAGCATACAGCAGCATGCCATGATGGGAAAGGGGAAAGGGAACCCATACCGGTAGCATGGCTGGTACCGTGTGAATGTGTGAATAGAACGACTGTGGAAGGTTTAGGTCCTAGGCAAAATGGGGATCTTTTTGCTACCTACCTTCACGCTTTGCTAGCGAGACCTTGAACAACCACACGTAGTTATTTACTCGCCTCTGCCGAACAGGATCTAAATGCTCACTGGCAGCTACCGTACCAGTCCTCGAACGAGCCCTCGGGCTTCTTCAGGTCTTTAGAAACTATGTTGCTCCACACCAGCACCCAGACTGGCTGTAACTTGTTTGATAGATTATGCACTAGAGTACCAGCAGGCAGACTTTCAACTCGCTCAAGTTAGATAGCGTTGTCTAGACTGCACCAGACCCAAGTTGCCATTTGGATGCCCCCACACGAGGTGCTGACTTCAATGCTGACGACTCGCCTCCCTCGTGGGTAGACGCTGCTTTCAAATTGAGCTTGGTCGAGAGCTTGTTGTGCGCAGAGAATCAAAGGAAAACCAGGCCTAGTAGAAGGGGAGAGCATGGTGAAACTGCTTCAGAGAAACTCAATAATGCAGAAGTTGTGGAGGCGGCAAAGACACATGACCAGGGATGTGACCTTACGGATACCCATCTGACTGGGAAGAGCTCTGCGAAGAATGCTCCACCTTGCAACAAGCATCCCAAAAGTGCATTCGATCTTAATACGCAGCTTTTGCATTGGTATACGGCACAAGTGAGATAATTGACAGAATGGACGTTTTCGTCAAGCATGGCACATACCTGCGATTGATAATAGTTGAAGTCATCTCTGGGACCAGACGACACTGATTTGAACGGTGTAACAAAATAGCGATTGTTTGTGTAAGCTGCATCTCCAAATATGGCAAGACCAGGTGCAAGAAACCCATCTTGTTCCAGTTTATGATAGAGAGAAGACGTAGAGAAGGCAAGAAAGTCTGATGTTGACGCAGGATGTTGGATGGCAACGTCCAGGAACCTGTTCTCGCTGTCGCAGAGACCTTGCATGTTTAGACCAAACTTGTGCTTCCTGCCACAAAAGAATTTCTTTGGACCACACTGGGCCAGAAGACACTCTTCGTCACTGAAGCGCTCTGTCCAGATAAGAATCCCATCAATTGCACCAGCACAGATGTGAAATCCTGATTGACTTTTGCTTTGGAAACCAGCGGCGATTGCTCTCTGTTCTGCGTGACTTTCTGGGTATTTGAATGAAAGCAAGTCACACGAGTTCACCGCGTCCACTACCATCCAAACACTTGTGAAAACCTGTGTATGGGATATTCCATGGACAAGGGCAATGTCTTCGGGTCTTCCTCCAGCGAAGTATCGAATAGCACAGCTCAGACGGACTGGGGAAGTGATGACACCATTTGCAGCACCCTTTGGCCCCTTCTTGGTTGTCCTGGTAGTCAAGAAGGGATATAGAAGCCGATGGAGATTCCAGAAGCTGGCAGCGTTCATTCTGTAAGCACGACGAACATATCCAGGACCCAGCTCTTTGAATATGTCCGAGACAAATCGCCTGGTTCTCTCGATGGGGGATACAGAAGGCCTGGGGATACGTGGAGTGTCAAAACCGAATTCTTCTGGGAAAATTGAAAGCAGCAATGCTACCAGCATCAACATCAAACGAGGATGGTCTTCCGTGACTTCAACATCATCCCCAGCACCTAACACCGTTAGCCAACAGAGGGCAACCAGAACAAGGAATAGATTCAGCATAGTCTGGCATTGTGGACACAAGCAACGATGCAAACAGTCTCAGCTACAGAAGCAGGTTGAACATCTTTCGTTGGAAAAAATATTACATCATCCAGATTACGTCATGGATTTGGAGCCATCACTAAGGATGTGGCTTGCGGGAATCGAAATCAAGAACCCAAAAAATCGGTAGGTGGTCGGGAGGCAAACTTGATTTTAGGCTTTTGATTTCCCCTCGCACAAACCATTTACCGAAAATTGAAATCAAGAATGAAGATTATTCTGGAGTTGTCGGGACACGCTCTTACCGTGCAGCACCATTTTTGACCCTCAGTTCCTTTCTAACAAAACAAGCCAATTTCAGCATTGAAGACTTTCTTACTATGCTTCTGGGTCAAGCAGGTCAGTACTTGGATACACCCAATGAACCTGGGCCTTTTGGTTCAACTTGCTCAGGACTCATAAATTGGGTTGGATCAAATAGAGATGGTGATCACTGTGTCTGCCGTGAGGCAGAAAATTTTGCAGATGTAAGCACAAGTTTGAAGCATTTTCATGGTGTCAGACTAGTAGTATTTCTTACGCTTTGAGGTCTTAATACTGGGAAGCTTTCTTACAAGTCTGTGATATTTCAGCATCAAGATTTTCTTAACATTTTCTAAAATCTCAGGGCTCGCTTTCTTATAGTGGAGTTTCTTATATTCAAGTCTGGAGTGTATGCAACGCAACGTCGGCAAAGCGGCAAAGATCAACGATGGTCAAAGTTCTGTCATGATTTCTGAAGTCTTTAGCCTTTTTTTAAAGACTTATGTAGACATGAAGGTGGTCGTAATTAGAAGACGTAAGATCCTCTGTTTTGTCCACCTGAGCTGTAAATGGAAGAATGGTCACAAGAAAGTTCCTAGTATTTCGATAACTCATTTAGAAAGCTTTAGTCCTGTCATACAACCGGTATTGAAATGGTGGTCAAAAACATGAAATAAATGGTCAATCGTAGCCGGTTTAACGCTGATTTACTTGAACATTTATACTAGGTTTCTTAAAACCGTATCTCTTTGCGGGTTTTATGAATCTCATTGCATCAAGTGACTTGATCCATAAGTGTAAAAAACTACAGCTCGAGTACTGTACTGATTATGAGGACCTTAAGCTAAGCTTATTAATACTGGCGTAGCTACTGTAAATAGTACTATTAATAGTACTTCAGTACTCTGCAACTGCGACACGCAAAGCAAACACGAAAATATCAGTTTGGATTCGCTGGAACATTATTGCACCCATACAATCCAGTACCCCAGGTACCACCGTGTGCCCGGACTCTAGCTACATGTATGCATACTAGTAAGCATGCTGTGCCGTTTTCGACACCTCATCAGAACCTACTTTTGTCCATGAAGTCCACGATAAAGTCCGGATTTATGAGAGTACCATCATATCGTCTGAGGCATTTAAAGACGCTTTACTTCAATTTTGGTGGCGACACCACCTAATTCTGTCAACACAGTTCAACACTTTAGTGGTTGATACCAGTGAGCGCGCGACAGCCCGTCCTCCTCGCGCAACTACCTGTACTGAGCTCCACCACTGTTAGCTGGTATCATAGTACCAGGTACCAGTACCTTACTTACTGGAGTCGTACCAGACCAACAGATTTCACGTACATAGCTCGTAGATTGTTGAGCTGATTGTTGTACCTATTGTTGTCCATACCTATTCGATTGAGGTCACCATAGGTTTGAATCGAAACAGTACAATTTAGACAGTAAAATAGAGGACTCATTCGTGTCGGTGCAAAGTCGCCAGCCATGCTAGTACACTAATTTACACAGTGGTGTCAGTTGCACCGAGTTAGCCGAGCTAAAAAGAATCACTCAACGAATACTGCGCACCAATTGGCTGATCGCTACCAGTACAAGCTCTACAGGAGAGGTTCGTAGCTATGTTCCGCTTCATCTCATAAAACCCATCTCACAATTTCGGCATCGAACACAACTATCTTCAGCAGTCGTCGCATCTTTATCAGTGGTTGTACAATGCCTGCTGTTTGCACAAAAGAAGCTTTCACTCACTTCGTTGTACAGAATGGACATCTATTCCCATTCAATTCTGTGAAGTTGACTCGTACGGCCTTCCATACCAAGTGGTTGCTGCTCAAGAATCGTGGTGACAGGTCACATTTCCGTCCTAACAACTACTATCTTGTTCCATCATCCACCTTTTCTCTTGAGGTGGTGCAGTGCTTGATTATTAATGGTCAAGCACTTCCCCTTCCTCCAGATTTCTGTGACATCGCTGACTGTATCGATTGATGGGGGTCTTGTATCGATCCTCGCTGGAAGAATGACATTATGGAGTTCTTTAACACGCTCCTAAGTCCTGTTGGAATATTTGAACCACCCAAGTATACCCTCTTTCGTTGCTGCATTTCCTTCCTGGTCAAGCTGAAGACAAATCCATACGGTCCTATCCATCCTATTGCAGTTGACTGGTATTCCTGCGACGGGATACAGCTTACAATTCAGCTTTACAGCTTTACAATTAGCAGGCTTATTCTAGAAAATAATTCAATAACTGCTCACTTATTTGGAAATACAAACTTTACATCTCTTAGATCGTTAGATTAATCAATCCACAATGGTATTGTCGCATGGTAGCATGCGAGGTTATGAGATGTTACTCATTCTTATTCTTATATGTCTATCCCTTATGGTTATCAATGGATTGCGCTACTCTTGATGCAGATTGTCCAGAGTTTCCTCTTGCACTCTTCATACGGTAGTCCTTCCCCTTATTGCAACTTAATCCCTTGGATTCGCTCGTAAGCAATCCTCCTCTTGTTGGTGATTCGCTCGTAAGCAATCGCAACCATGGACTCCTACAGGA